ACTTCAATTTGAATCACGAACTCTCCGCTTTATCTCACCTTCTCAATTATAGGAGAGTGGTCCTTGGTGGATCCGGGTACTTGGCCGCACTGTGGTCAACTTATTCAACACGAGTCAAGTGATCAAACTCGAGTCGTTTATTTTTCTTTTTACTCCCCCTCCGAAACCACAGGACATTGGTTCCTGGTGGACCCGGGCACAGGCCGCACTGTGGTCAACCGATTCAAACTGAGTCAAGTGCTCAAATTGGAGTCATAAACTTTTCTGTTTTTACTCCCCCTTTGTAACTACAGGAGAATGGGCCTTGGTGGATCCAGGCACAGGCCGTACTGTGGTCAACCGATTCAACCCGAGTCAAGTGCAGGCGTGCTTCGTGTATTGGGGCAGTGCGTTCTGCAACCTGGAGCTGGTTTCAGAGGAGAGGCCGGTGTCGGTTGAAACGCCCCTCATTGTCAACCACTCATACAGCATTGAGACAGTGGCAGAGTGATGCAGTCAACAAAGTCAACACGAGTCAAATGCAGGCGTGCTTTGTCTACTGGGCCAGTGGGTTCTGCAACCTGGAGCTGGTTTCAGAAGAAAGGCCTCTCGGTTGAAATGCTACTCAGGATTGATCACGCATCAGGCCTCTTGATATAAGGGTGAATCACTCTTATGACCCTTACTAAATAAGGGTGTCTTCTGATTCGGACCCTTCACAAAGTGGATTTTTTTCTGACACTTACAGAAAAATGTGAATTGTGAAAGCGAAGCTGCTTGTGCTGCACAATTGGCATCGTCGAAGCGCGCTAAACGTCCTTCTCAGGCCCTACGATATCAGGAATTTTTCACAGAAATTCCTGATTTTCAGGGATTTTTTGGTACCTACACTGATTTTTCAGTGTTGAGAATTTTGTGACACTGATTTTTCAGCCTTTATTTCATAGTTGACACTGATTTTTCAGTCTTTAATCGAAGTGTACACTGAATGCACATTCCGAATCCTTCCTGTCAACCAACATTTTCAGGTATTCAACGTACGAATACGATACGTAAGAGATTGACGGTTTAGAGGATCAACTGTGACAGTGGTTAGTGATTTTCTACCGACAGGTGAGGGCTAGGTTCGAATCCCTCAGCTGATATGATTCTTAAAGCCTGTCCTCGAACATATGGTTTTCATTTGCTTGAAAATTCAGGCTTTGATTTTTAGGAACCCTGAAAATTCAGGGTTTTGTTTTTAGGAACACTGAAAATCAGGGTTTTGTTCACAGGGACCCTGATGCATCAACGTCCCTTAAAGTGAATCTGAGGGCCTGGTCCTTCTCCAACTACAAAAACCGTGGGTTGGAGTTCATTTCCCTCCACCCACGCTTCTCGATTTTTCAACGGCTCACTCAACATTCCCACCACCCACCCCAAAGTAAACCGCCTTGCTAATGCCACTTGGATAGGGTACATCTTGTTGGGCTGAAACGCCCTAGGATCTTTGTAGAGTTAAAGTCTGAACAGATATTGTCATAGCGGAAGCGTTGAATAAAGCTTTTGAACCACCTTGCGCTAGTATGTGAGGGCAAAGTGAGTTGATTAAAGTAAAGAGATACAAGGATATAAATAGATGAGTACAGGGAATGTGAAAGGATATTGTAACTAATTTTACTGTTGCGATTCGATACAGTGCGACTCGGGCAACTGCTCAATGTCGAGTCAGTTGTTTGTCCTTGCTGTCGCGCAGCGTCAGGTCAAAGGTCGCTGACCTTTGACTTTCTCGTAACCTCCGACGGTTACGTTAACCGCTTTGGTTGACTCGCGATGCTTCGACTTGAGCTGCTTCGCTCTGTGCCTTGAGTTCTGACACGACAGAGGTGCTTAACTTATTTGTTCCCAACACATCTCAGCTAGTGTTATTCGATTGCACTAGCTTGTGTTCAACGTTGATGCAAATGTTGTAATAAGTCATTTGTAATGAGAACGATGCCAATTGATAAGAATAAGAAAGCAAGCTTTCTCAATAGACTGTTTCAAATCCTATCCAGGGGCCTGTCACGCGTACATCATGGAGACAGTGGCCGGATTATCTGGTCAAGAAGTCAACCAGGTTTACTTCATATACTGGGCCTGTGGGTTCTGTCAACAGGGCATATGCATATAGAGCATCCTTACACCTTTATTCCTTCAGAATTGACTGGAGGCACACCTTTTCTTGTTTGCTCAGCATTGTTAAATTAAGAATTTTAACAAACTACAACTCCACAATCACTACCGATTTCAGCCGTGATTTGTCACCATTTACTTCATAGCGAAGCGCCCTCGCTTGCGCGGCGGCCGTGCGAAAGTATTGACTCAAATGAGAGGTGTGTATGCAGGCAGGTCCAAGCTGGCGAATTCATAACTGGCGGAACATCACTCGGCAGGACTTCGCCGAGCTGTGCTGGGCGACGCCAACAGCTGCGCGAACTGCGATGTGCAACTGTTTTATCGCTGACGAAGTCCATGTGGTAAAAAGTTACTCGGCAGGAACTCGCTGAAGCTTTCTTCTCACGCCGTGCTGGCGGTCGTGAACAGCTGCGGAAAGTGTGGAGTCCGCTTGACTATGAAGGATGACTACTAGCGAATTCTTGTTTGATTTCGCGAACTGCCAACGAGGAATGTTGGTTCTTTCATCTCCTTCCTCGCCAGCCCCTTTCAGAATTAGAGAGTACCCTTCTTCCACTCTCGACAATTCCTCACAGTTTACATAAACCGCCATATCAGGTAGGCGCAACGACCATATCTCGTAAGCTTCAAGTTCATAGAGCTCATTTGTACATACACCTCGCCTCGCAATTTTTACTGCTGGACCAATCCGTTTTCTATATACATATAGAATGCCCCCGGGGTAGTTCACTATTTTTTTTCTTTGTAATAACTCCACTTGAATACGAACGGAAGTAACTTATCATTTCTTGGCGACAGTACAGACATGGCGCGTTTGCAATTGAAACTGACCGTTATTTCGGGTGTAATACTCATCATCCTCGTGTCTCTTACCACCGCTAAAAGAACGTCGAAAGGCCTCCGTCCTTCGCGCCGTTTCTTGCGGGAGAGCCGGCTTCCTCTAGGCGCGCGAACACATGGTAACCGTCGCCAGCTGCAAGAATCCTTGTATGATAACGGCGATTGGTCTGGTGACAGTGGAGGCTTTTCGAACTATTGGAGCGACTGGTTAAACGACGGTGGCGACTGGTCTAGTAATTTGCCCGAGGACTGGTCGAGCTGGTTAAACAACGGTGGCGATTTGTCTAATTTGCCCGACGACTGGTCGAGCTGGTTAAACAACGGTGGCGATCTGCCTAATCTGCCCGAAGACTGGTCGAGCTGGTTAAACAACGGTGGCGATTTGTCTAATCTGCCCGAAGACTGGTCGAGCTGGTTAAACAACGGTGGCGATTGGTCTAATATGCCCGATGATTGGTGGAGCGATTGGGGTGGCGACACCGGCGGTGGCTGGGACGACGGTAGCTCTGACGGCGGCGGTTGGGACGACGGTAGCTCTGACGGCGGCGGTAGCTCTGACGGCGGCGGTTGGGACGACGGTAGCTCTGACGGCGGCGGTAGCTCTGACGGCGGCGGTTGGGATGACGGTAACTCTGACGGCGGCGGTTGGGACGACGGTAGCTCTGACGGCGGCGGTTGGGACGACGGTAGCTCTGACGGCGGCGGTATTTCTGACGGCGGTGGCTGGGACGACGGTAATTCCAACGGCGGCGGTACTTCTGACGGCGGCGGTTGGGACGACGGTAGCTCTGACGGCGGCGGTAGTTCTGACGGCGGAGGTAGCTGGGACTACGGGGGAAGCTCTGGCGAAGGCGGCGACAGCGGGGGGGACGGCGGAAGCGGCGGAAGTGACGGGAGTAGCGGCAGCGGCGGAAACGGCGGAAACGGTGGGGGCGGGGGCACAGTAGACGCGGGGGCGATGCTGGAGGGACACAACGCTGCGCGCGCAGAGCTGGGCCTCCCCGGGCTGGGCTGGGACGCGAATCTGGCGGCCTCCGCGCAGGCATGGGCGGACAACCTAGCTTCGCGCGGATGTCCCATGGAGCACGGGGGACACGATAACATGGGGCAGAACTTATACTGGAAGAGGCCTGCTGCTTTTAACGCGGATGAGGACCGTGGTGCAGTGAAAAGCTGGGTGGATGAGAAGCAGTATTGGACGTATAGTGCGATTCCGGGGGGGTGTGTGGAGGGACAGCAGTGCTTGCACTATACGCAGATTGTTTGGGAGGATACTAAGAATGTGGGATGCGCTGCGGCTCAATGCAGTGACGGGGCCGGGATGTGGGTGTGCCATTACTATCCACAGGGGAACTGGCAGGGGGAGTACCCATATACTACCTAACAGGACCCAACTGAATTGCACTGGACCTGACTGGACCACTGTCTGCCCTGCTGGAAGTATGGAGACCGTTCTCAAGAAGACTTATGATCGGAAGGAAGTGCAGTGCACCCCTCGTCCGAGCACGATGCACTATGGGTTTTACCGCGGGTGGGAGGAGGAAGTGCAGAGTGAGCTGGTGCAGTTCTTGGCGGTGCATTTTATGCATCGGAAGAAAGAGTTTTTTAGTACCGGTACCAAATTTCAGCATGGAGAAGTTGTGGGGTAGTGATGTGCGTGGATCGTGCAGGTGGGATTTGTGAACCGGTGCAGGAATCGTGTTTATGGCAGTACAAGGAACCAACCAAAGCCATCTCTTTCAATTCAACCAAGCCAAGGCTAGGTGGATGTTCCTAAAACCCCAGACAAGCTGCACCCCTTTAGATTGTCCAAGCTACGAGCATGTGAGATGAGATAACTAACAGGCACCACTAATCACAAGTGTGCGAACAAGCTGTAGCACAAAAAACGAGGGGGCAAAAAAACACATAACGGTACATACTTCAATCCCATCTTCCATCTCAGCGTGCATCCTCGAACCATTCAGTACATTCTTCCATTCCAATACCCAACTTCCAACTTACCACTCCGCATCTAATTTCTCCTAGTAGACGCAAATCACATCCCATCCTCCCTCGTCGTCCATGCCATTGTCAGTGTTAAAGCCATACGGATGCTCAATGTCATCGTCCTCCCTACCTCTCTCCTCCTCTTCCTCCGATGCCTCCTCTTTCCACCACCGCATCGTCTCCCTCCCCCTCCTCCTCTTCCGCATCCCCTCCCACTCCTGCTGATCCCCTTTCTCACCCTCTTCCTCGTCCGCATCCCCTCCCTCCCTTTCTTCCCCTTCCGAATCCCATTCCCCCCTTTCTTCCCCTTCCGAATCCCATCTCCCCCCTTTCTTCCACTTCCGAATCCCATTCCCCCCTTCCCCTTCCGAATCCCATAACCCCCTTTCTTCCCCTTCCGAATCCCATCCCCCCCTTTCTTCCACTTCCGAATCCCATCCCCCCCCTTCTTCCCCTTCCGAATCCCCTCCCTCCCCCTCCTCCTCCACCTCCTACCCCTCTCTCTTCTCCCAATCCACCCCAACCCTATAAACCCCCCTCCTGTCTCGCTGGATGAGCAACAGGCACCTGCTGCTGCTGCACGAACGCAGTATCGCCATCTTCCGGAGAAAGGACGGCAGCCGAGTCAGCTGCTTGCACGCTTACACGCCCTGCAGTTCAAGCTTAGGCAGCTGGGCAAACGAATCCGGCAAGCCTCGCAACTGCTTCAGTTCTGCCATCTAACTCATCCTACTCATCATCACTCTCTACCCAGCCTCTGCCACAGCCCATCTCATAGTCACTGTCCATGGCATACTCATGCTCAATATCATTATCTTCACCCCCACTCTCCTCGTCCTCTGGTGCCTCCCCATCCGCCTCTTCCCTTTCCCCAGCCACATCGCCTCCCTCCTCCCCCTCTTCCTCTTCTGCGTCCCCTCCCTCCTCTTCCTCCTCCCCCTCCCCCTCCTCTCCCTCCTCTCTCCTTGCAGGAATCCCTCTGGTGTTGCGACGGGAGAGCAGGGGGCATTCACTGGTGTCGCACTCACGCAATGTTGGCAAATTCAGGAGAGAGGCGGGCAGCCGAGTCAGCTTCTTGCATATGATCACCTCCAGCTTCTCAAGCTTAGGCAGCCGTGTGAACGAATCTGGCAAGCTTTGCAAGTGCTTCAGTCCCAGAATCAACAACTTTTGGAGCGAAGACAGCTTCCAGATGTCATCAGGAATGCTTGGGATTCCAAGCATGATGAGAGAGCAGGATCGTAGCTTGGGTAGATTCACGAACGACTTTGGAAGCTGCATCAGCTTGTAGCAATCGATAATATCCAGCGTCTCGAGCATTTTCAGCTGCCCGAGAGACTCGGGCAGCTGCTGCATTGAGATGAGGTCAACCAGCTGCAAGACACGCAGCCCTGCAAGCCTCCCAAGGGTCTCGGGCAGTGCTTTCAGATGGCAGGCCGTATCAATCTTGAGCCTTTGCAGCTGCGAGAGTTGGGAGATGCAATCAGGGAGAAGGTCAAGTTTATACATCTCCAGGAGCTTCAACTGCGTCAGAGAGGACAGCCGACCAAGGGATGGACCAAAAGACTCCACATTAAGCGCTTTCATCTTGAGGCTCAGAACGGAAGGAAGCAGAGGGCGGCTGCTGCTCCTGCTGCCGGTGCTGGTCACAAAGCCCCTGGCAGTGCGTCTAAGCACCGTCTCATCGCCTAACACCCCGCTTAGCGAACAACATGCCCGCACGTCCAACGACCGGAGACTGGGCAGCTCAAGGAGCGCCGGAGGGAGACATATCAGGCCGCCCATCCCAACGATCCTGACCTCCTCGAGCGCCGCCAGCCGTCCGATTCCCTCTGGCAGGACCGTTATTTTAGGGCAGTTTCCTAGTTCCAGACTGGTGAGGGAATCAACGCCAGAGAATGAAGCAGGGAAGGGAGGAAAAGCGTGGCATAGACTCAAGCGACAGCTCCTTGAGGCTCTTCAGGCAGCCAAAGCCGTCCAGCAGCGCGCCCCTGAAGCGTTTCGCGTCTACAATCTTCAGCGTTTCAAGAGATGTCAGGGCGGAGAAGGATGGTGGGAGGTGGGTGAGAGCCGTGCACTCTAGCAGATGCAGGTGGCGCAAGGAGCGGAGACCTTTACCCATGTCGTCTGGCAGCACAGTGAGGCACGGACAGTCGTTAAACTCCAGGTGCTCGAGAGAAGACAGCTGGGACAGGGAGTCGGGAAGTTGCTGCAGCTGCCTACACTCCAACAATTTCAGCTCCCGAAGAGATATTAACTGCCCGAATGTTTCGGGCAGGTGCGTGAGCTGTCGGAGGTCTTTCAAATACAGCTTCTCTAAAAGCACCAGCTGACCAAACTCCTGCGGCAGATGCGTCAGATTCAAAAGATGATCGAGGGAAAGCTCTTGAAGAGTGGTAACCAGGGCGATGGAATCAGGTAAGGCTGCGAAACTTCGCAGATTTAGCACGAGTTTCCGAAGCGTAGACAACTGCCCGAAATCTTCAGGCAGCACTGAAATTTCTCCCATGTCAAGGGCGAGTTCGGTGAGTGCGGGCAGGCGGGGAAGGGACACGGGCAGAGTCGTGATGTCACTGCAGCCGTTGATCAATAGAGTCTTCAGTCGTTGCAAATGCTCCAGATCCGCAACCAAGTCGCGCATTCCCCTCACTTCAACCAAGATGATAGTTTCAAGTGCCCCCAATTGACCAAAATCGACCGGCGACGGAGGAAGAATACTGCATCGTCGACACTCCAGGACGGCGAGAGAAGAGAGCTCGGTGAAAGAGTCCGGCAGCTGCAACGCCTTGGAATGATGCAAGGAAAGGCGGTTCAGAGCGGTAAGCTGCCCGAAAGAGTCTGGAAGTGACGCCAAGTTGCAACCATTCAGCTCCAGCGACGTCAAATAAGCCAGATTTCCGAAATTTTGAGACAAAGCTTCGAGCTTATAAGTGTTCAGCACGATGCTTTTGAGAGACTGCAGCGAGGTCAGTGTGTCGGGAAGACGCGTGACTCTTGCCACGAGGTGCAGATGCTTGAGGAAAGTAAGTCGGTCGATTGACGTGGGAATGGCAGCACTATCAGAACAATGCACACGGAGATCTTCCAGCCGCGTACACCCCTCGAACAGCGAGCGAGGCTCATCTCGGTTACATCTTCGCGACTACACCAACGTGACATCGATAGGACATGAAGCTGGGTCAAACGGTGACACGTGCTGGCGAGGTGAGAGAATAAAAATTTAGAGGTTGAGGTGAGGCTGCAGGAGGAAAGGATGAGCTTTTCGAGATTCGGGAACGAGGACAGAAGCTCAACAAGCCGACGCGGATCCATACGGAGGTCATGGGGCAAACAGAGCTCGTATTGCACGCGGCACGCGATCCGATGCCATTGCTTGCTAACGAGTGCATGCTCCGGCAGGCCATCAGGTCGAACCAGAACCCAAAGGATCCGAGAAAGAAGCTCCTCAGGTAGCCGCTGGATCGGCGATCCGACTGGCATTGTAAAAGGAGGAGAAAGACAGGAATTGATGGCTCTTCACCGCGTTAAGTCTGCTTCTAATTAGGAAACGTGGCTTCTATAATCGTTTTCTAGCAAGGTCCGTCAGACAAAAAGAGCCTCGGGAGGATCAGTTTCACATAGGATCAATGAATACATTTCTCTCACGAAGTAAGCGTTGGGTTTTTTTTTTTTTTTTTTTTTTTTGATACGAAAAAGTACACTAAAAGGATAATGTACAAAACGCATCAGGCAGTCGTAACTGTGTCTGGAGGGAAGAAGCCACAATAGCATGTACCGTGGGTTCCCTATATCAGGTCTACGGTGGCCGGTTAGTCATCTTCGGATCGTTCCAGATGGAGCTGAAATTGTTCCTCCACGTCAGTGGTACCCCTTTGCTGCATATTCGCCTCATCATCGCCGCCTCGTCTGTTGCCAGGTAGTCCCAGTTATCGGCGCCAATCGCCACCCCATGCTTCCGCGCTGCCATTTGCCTTGCCAGGCAGTACACCCTGGCGTGTGCGACAAACTTCACCACTGCCAGGCGTATCACTTTCTTGGGCTGAAGTGCAACACCACAGCGGCTTGCGTCACACCTTGCCAGCCAAGTCTGGTGAAGTGTGGTGGCGATGAAAGAACTTTCCGGAAAGCCAGACTTCGTGCTCCTCTGCATGAAGAGGAGGTCCTCCAAGCCCTGCCAACTCAGCTGCGGGTTCATCTCAGCCAGTCCCTTCTTCAGAAAGCGGACTATCCTCTGAATCGCCGGGCAGCCGAGCAGGCAATGCTCCGGTGTCTCCTCTGCTTTGCAATGTGGGCAGACCACTTTTTCCTTCATGAAGAAGAGCCGTTCTCCCACTTGTAAATTCCTGCAATGCAACCTTAGCAGGATTTCTCTTGCCCGAGCAGGGGTGGCAAGAGAGTCCCTCTGCTTGATGACCCTCTCCCATTCAATAATCCTCCCATCACCAATCCACCTCCGCTGCTCCTTTACGACGCCTGCTGAGGTTACCAGCTCCTTCCTGATCTCCTTTAGTGCCAGAAGCCCTCCATCCTTGGTTAGCTTGGACTGTAGGAGCTTCGTTCGTGCCTCCCCCATGAGCCCCAGTACCTTATCACCCTGTGCTGCTACCGGCTCCCCGCTGTGCAGCCCGAAATTTACAGGATACTTCCCGTCCCCGACCGTGAAAGTACCGTCCTTGCTTTCCCGGCACGCCACACCCGTCACTCTGCCGCTGACAGCGCCGCTAACATTCCAAAGCGACGGGGCCGCAGAGATACACCCCTGATATCGCAGTAGCGGGACCTTAGCCACGAGCTCCTCGCTTGTCAACGTCGCCAGTATCATGTCTCTCCATCCAGCAGGCGCCGCCATGAAAGCTTTCAGCGCCAACTTCGCCGTATCAACGCTGCCGAGCTCACACGTCAGAGTTTCCACACACTTCCGCTCCCGTGATCCATCCGCCCGACGCCAGACCAGGTCGCCTAGAGTTACGCCCAGTAGCTTCGCCGAGCCTTGTTGGTTTCCGAACGGGCTGGCCCCCCTGAAAGGTATCCGTCTGTTAAAAGCCAGCTGCTCCCGCTCCGCTTCCCAGCGGTTACTTGGCTCCGGGGTGACGCAGAAAGGTGATTTCCAGAAGGCCAGCATCATGTCCTTCCAGCGCTTGCTTCCCTCTTCCCAGTGCTTCAGCAGGGACTGGTGGGCATAGATTGTGTCCGGGCCCAGAGGCATCGCCGCCGCTCTTTCCGTCAGCCATTTCTTAACGGGGTTTGTCTGCAGCATCATGCGGCCAACATTCTGCACCGCTATGCTGTCGAACCGCTTCTTGGGGCAGATCATCCCCAACCCTCCCTCTTCACGAGGCGTGCAGACCAGCTCGTAGTTCCAGAGGACAAAGGCCTTTTCCTCCGTCGCTTCCCCTCCCGACACGAAGTGGTGACAGATCCGCTTGACCTTCGTCCATATTCCCTCCGGCGGCGGGTAAATGTATGCCTGGAACATGAAGATAGGCGTTATGTATCCGTTGATAATCGTGACCCTCGCCGATGTCGTTAAATGTTGAATTTCCCATTTGGCTAACTCCTTCCTTGCCCTGTCCAAAGCCTTCTCCCAGGACGGAAGCGGGTCACCGTTCGGGGTGATCCAGACACCGAGCAGCCTCTCCGGTACTGCCGTATCCGCCCACTTAAACTGCAGGTCTGACGGCGAGGACTTCCCCCTATTCCTCCCGAGTGGGAAGACCACCGTCTTATCCTTGTTTAGTTTCAGCCCTGACGCTTTCCCGAATTTTTCCAGCACATCAGCCGCTGCAACCAGCTGCTCTTCTCCCTGTAGCACCAGCGACGTGTCGTCGGCATAACCCAGGTAAGCTAGCTTCACCGCGCCTTTTTCGCCTACTCCCAGCCGGCGTCTCGCAATGTCTTGACAGAGCGGCTCCACCGCGCACAAGAAGAGGTACGGTGCTAGCGGGCAGCCTTGACGCACCCCTTTTTCCACCGCGACCCTTTCTCCCGTCCAACCATTGATGTGTAACCTTGTTCCTGCTCCTGTGTGCAGGCCCTCCGCCCAAGACACAAACCGCTCCGGGACCCCCATCCCTCTCAGCGTGCGGAAAAGGAAGGCCCTTGAGATGGAGTCGAACGCCTTCTGGAAGTCGACCATCAGAAGGTACCAGTCCTTCTCATCGCTTGCGCCTGCCTCAATAGCGTCCGCGACCACAGCAGCTGCATCCGCCAGTCTCCGACCAGGTAGGAAGCCCGCCTGATCTTCCGAGATCACCTCGTGCAGCACCTTTTTAAGCCTTGAGGCCAGCACCTTCGCCAGCACCTTGTAGACTGTGCTAAGCAGAGTAATGGGCCTGTAGTTCCCTAACTCCTCTTTGCTCCCCTTTTTGTGCAACAGGATCGTGACCGCAGTTGAGACCTCTCGTGGTAGCTTTGCCGTTCGCGTGAAGCTTTCTATGAACTGCATCAGCACCGGCCCGAGCAAATCCCAGTTGTGTTCGAACAGCTCCTTGGGGAGCCCATCTTGTCCCGGCGACTTCCCCGGAGCCAGCTCACGCACTGCTGCCCGGACTTCCTCCTCCGACCATGGCGCTCCAAGGGCGCGGTGGCTTGCATCGCATAGCACCCGGTCCATAACCTGCGGCTCCGTCCCGTGAGAGTCCGTATCGCCCCCACCGAACGAGTTCCTGAAGTACTCCGTCGCCGCCGTCAGCACTTCCCTCGCTCCAGAGTGGGTAGTGCCGTTGTAACAGACCGATTTCACTTCCGTTCTCGCCTTCCGCTCTTTAATCTTTCCAGACAGGAAACCCATTGTCACTTCCCCGTCAAGCTCCGCCTTCAGCCCTAACCACTCCTGCAGCTTCTCTTGATGACTCTTCTCATACGCGTTGAGCAGCTCCTCTTTTTTGAGCAGAATTGCACCCGTCCGCTGACATTGCGGGTTCTGCGACAAGCGCTGGCGGAAGACCCTCACCTCCTTCTCCAGATGTTTCATAGTCGCCCCGATTCTCTTTCTTTCCTCCTTCGTATATGCACGCAGGCACGCCGACAGCCTTGGTAACATTCCACCGAGGTCACCTCCCGCGTCTATGATCACCTTTTCCACACGACTTCTTACCCCCCTCTTCTTTGCCTGTACCGCTCTCAACCGCCAGATCCCAGGTAAGCGTTGGGCTTGTTCGTAGCACCGTACCCAACCGCTCGTTTATCTCGAGCCATTCCCGCCAAATGCTCCCGCGTTACATCATACTTGCGAAAAGGACGGGCGATACAAGCACGCAACGACGAACCCGTATCTGCGAGGAACACGCACCGTGCATTTCGCGATTCCGAAATGGGATGTGCTGGTGGCTAATGTGGTACTGACCCGTTCCCGCCAAAAAAGTGATGGCAGCGTACTCGTTAATGGGTGGAAATTCACTCTCGTCAGTGAGAGTATCTTACCAGAAATGAGTTGTTATTCTAGAATACTTGTAAGGAAAATTCCTTTTCCTTACTTCGCGTCCCCGCTCAGCGCATACACCACTGTAGCGCCACAGTCAGCACTGTTACCACTCGCAGCCCTCGCATCGATAATCCTCCCGCCACCTTCGCACGTCGCACCCCGACCTCACGGCTCGGCGGGCAACCCGCGCTCCGGGCCTCCGCTTCGACATTTTCCCCAACCTCAGTCCCAGGCCCGTCACGCAAGAACCACAGTCCATTACCGTTACCACTGTAGTTTCGCTATATATTCTTCGCTCATGCCTTCGCTCATTGTACTCTTGCTTTGATAGTGCAATCCTCGTTCGTTCACTCAATTGCACTCGTAACACTTGGTATTCAGAGCCTACGATCTCTTCTTGGACCGCACCCACACCTTCGCTTCCCCACTATCTCAATTTTTTGGGGGGGGTAGATGTCTCTCAGCGACACAGTACCGCCGCTCATAGTGCTCTCTCGTAAGCACGCACGGCCACGACAGAGGCTCTCACTGAGCTTGCCCGACACCCCCGCCATAGCCGAATTCGCGCTCGGGACGTTGACGCAGGAGCAGCTTGACCGTCTGGTATGCCAAGTTGAAGAATCGGCGCTCGAAATTGCGACGCTCACGGCGGAACGTGACTCCGCGCGTCAGCAATCCACGGTGAATACTCCAGCGCCACCACACACACCGACAAATGCATCTGCACAATCGGACGAGTCGATCGTCATTTCGTCCGGCACACCAACACAACACGACAGCGTGGGACAGCGCTCAGGTGCAGCGTCCGATATGTTGAACCCACGATTGAACCGTCGGACGTTCACGATGAACGTCTTCTTCTACGCAAATCACGTCGAGTTGGACGCAGCGAAGATCCGATATGCCGTCTCGTTGCTGAGGAGCCCTGCCATGGACTTGTGGCGAGTCATTGTGACGTCGCTACGCGCTTACGAGCCACCGTCGCAAGAGGAAGGGACCACGGGTCCAGCTGTCACTTGGAGTTCATTATGCGAAACCGCCCAATACAACACGTGGGATGCGTGGTGCGCAGGGCTTTGGGCGCACTTCGAGCCGATCGCGGCTTCTATTTCAGAGCGTTAGAGACTGCGTACTTGGCGGCAACTCGGGTCGGTTCAAGACTATACGAGTGGTTTTCTCGCATTATGCGAACAACTCAGCTACATGCACGAAGCGGAGCAGGTGGACCGTTACGTCGGAGGGCTGAAGCCGGACATCTCACACGAGATCATGCTACGCGGGCTCTCGAACTTCAACGAGATCCTCGCGCTCGCCGAGAAAATCGACATTTTGCGCCGTCCGAGACCGGGATCCTACTATGGACATCGTCATTGGGGACCGATCGAGCATGCCACCGTACATGCCGTTGCGACGAATGCAGCTGCCACGCCGTTTAAGGGACGCTGCTTTGCTTGTAATAGGCCGGGCCATCGCAAGAGTGAATGCCCAGAGAAGCTGAGGCGCCACGGAGCAGAGCAAGGGAGGGAGTCTCCAAGGCAGGGAAACGCCATCAGTCAGTAGTAATCGGGCCAACTACTGACGAGACTGCCTGCTCGCCCAACCCCACCGACCCTCACCGAGTCACAGTACCAATTCATGCAATCGATCGGGCTCGGATGAATAAGGAGGGTACAGCGACGGATTGCCCAGTACTGATCCATGGGATAATACAGGCAGCAGCAATGAAGATTTTTATCGACGGAGGAGCAGGTCACAGTTTAGTTAATACCGCAACCGCACGCAGATTGCAACTGACACTTAGCCATTGCTTACCTGAGATAGATATACGCTTAGTTAACGGCACACCACTGGCCATACGAGAAAAGGTGGAGAGAGTCAAAGTCCGCTGCAGGGGAAATTTCGGCTTTACACAGGAAATGCTCGTGACAACACTTGATCGGCACAACATTTTACTGGGACGTGATTGGCTGCGACGGTATAACCCGCAAGTTGACTGGGCGACGGGTAGCTGCACCATGCAAAAAAGCGGTAACTGGGTTGAACTACCTCGCTGGCAGTCGCCCGAGTCATCAACGGTACACGTCAACGGGCTATCGCTGCTGGAGCTGACGTGTACGCAGTAGACATTTCAGTAGTAGAAGGAGCAGAGCAGCCGAGTGATTTCAAGGAACTGCTGGTATCAGAAGGAGAGAGAAGTGATCGCACTATGAGAGTTGGAGTACAAATAGCAAACCTAAAGGCTAACCCACTATAGCCTACACAATAACAACACATATAATGTTTGACACACCCCCATAGGCAAAGTGGGGGAGAACAAGGGGTCACAAGACCAGTCAAGAAAGGCAAGCAAGCTCAGGGTGGATCACAACGTCACCACACAATCCGAGCACAAGCAAAGGGCCACAAGGCCAGTTCACATGTAGAGGTATATATATAAGTAGTACAAACAGCAAGGGTGATCTCAACCTAGCAGAGCAAACATGCAGGAGTATATATAGAGATCACAGTACAGGCAAAGCCTACAACAAGTGAGACAAGGTGGGTACTAGCCCGAACAAAGTACAGAAGCGCTGATGATCACCAGGCTGAAGTGCCTTGGTGAAAACATCAGCAGTGTTGGCCTGAGAGGCCACGTAACGCAGACGAAGCTGACCACGTTGCTGAAGCTTACGAGCAAGGAAGTAACGGAGAGCGATGTGCTTCGTTCTCTGCTCCAGTCTGTGCTCCTGACACAAGGCAATGGCAGCCTTGTTGTCGACGTACAGCACTGGAGGAGAACTAGGCCGCTCTCCAAGGTCAGTCAGCAGGTAGGTGAGCCAGCGCAACTCCTGTGCAGCCATGGCTGTGGCGTAGATCTCAGCCACACAACTGAAGCTGAGAACGGAAGAAGAACGAGTAGAGCGCCACGAAACTGAACCAGAGCCAAGGCTGAAGGTGTAACCCTGTGACGACCGCTGAGTAGCCTGGTCGTCAGCCCAAGAAGCGTCTGAGTGCCCAGTGAGAACAACTAAGCTCCCTCCTCCGAGCACGAGCCCCATGCCTGATGTACTGCACAAGTAGCGCAATGCCCTCTTTGCAGCATCCCAATGTCAGAACTTATAGCTTATACTTTTGTGTAGGCTATAGTGGGGTATCCCATAGGGGGTACAACCCAATTAGGGTTGGTACTTGTACTCACACATTCATAGTTCATTCATTCCTGTTCCTTCACTTCACATGGTATAGAGCAGGTTCCCCTGTGGGAACTTCGCCTAGGGCCCACCACTCGAATTTTTTTTCCTTCCCGAAGCGCACTCCTTCCGAGTCGCGCTTCGGGCCTTTCTCTCACCGAGCCGCCCTAGCGGCCGACCTTTGATCGCGGCCCCGCCGCCCTTCACCTACGCGGCCCCGCCGCCTTCACCTACGCGGCCCCGCCGCCCTTCCGTCACGGCCCCGCCGCCTCAGCAACGCGGCCCCGCCGCCCTTACGGTCGCGGCCCCGCCGCCCTTACCTGAGCGGCCCCGCCGCCCTTTACCTACTCGGCCCCCTGCCGCCCTCACCTACGCGGCCCAGCCGCCCCTACGTCGCGGCCCCGCCGCCCCTACGTCGCGGCCCCGCCGCCTCAGCGACGCGGCCCCGCCGCACTTACCTGAGCGGCCCCGCCGCCCTAACCTACGCGGCCCCCTGCCGCCCTCACCTACGCGGCTCCGCCGCCCCTACGTCACGGCCCGGCCGCCTCACCTACGCGGCCCCGCCACCCAACCTACGCGGCCCCGCCGCCCTTACCTGAGCGGCCCCGCCGCCCTTTACCTACGCGGCCCCCTGCCGCCCTCACCTACGCGGCCCCGCCGCCCCTACGTCGCGGCCCAGCCGCCCCAACCTACGCGGCCCCGCCGCCCTTACCTGAACGGCCCCGTCGCCCTTACCTGAGCGGCCCCGCCGCCCTTACCTATGCGGCCCCTGCCGCCCTCACCTACGCGGCTCCGCCGCCCCTACGTCGCGGCCCAGCCGCCTCACCTACGTCGCGGCCCCGCCGCCTCACCTACGCGGCCCTATCGCCGCCCTACCTTCGCGGCCCAGCCGCCCTACCTACGCGGCCCAGCACCGACCGAGCCGCCCAGCAGCAGCCGAGCCGCCCGGCCTCAGCCGCGCCGCTCAGCAGCACCCGAGCCGCCCAGCATCAGCCGAGCCGCCCAGCACCAGCCGAGCCGCCCAGCAGCAGCCGAGCCGCCCAGGAGCAGCCGAGCCGCCCAGGAGCCGCCGAGCCGCCCAGCAGCAGCCGAGCCGCCCAGGAGCCGCCGAGCCGCCCTGCTACCGGATCGCCCGACCTGTCCTGTCTGGTGAGCCCGGCACTGCCCCACTGCTACTGCGTCCCCCTCCCCACTGCTTGCACTGCTAGTCTGTCGTCATGGCTACCCCCAGTGTCCTCGCTTTTGACGCTGAGGGTCGAGCCATTGACTTTGAGGTCTGGGTCGACGAACTGCAGTTGTTTTTGCAGTGCGATAGGACGGACAGTCTTTCTCTCTTTGACCTCACCTCTGGCGCCTCCCCTGCTCCTGCTGCTGATGCTG